GCGGCAGTTGTAGGGGCGGCTGCTCCAGGGGCGGCTGCTGCAGGGGCGGGTGCTCCAGGGGCGGCTGCTGCAGGGGTGGCTGCTCCAGGGGCGGCTGCTGCAGGGGCGGCTGCTGCAGTGGCGGCTGCTCCAGGGGCGGCTGCTGCAGTGGCGGCTGCTCCAGGGGCGGCTCGACTGCTGGGCGGCTCGGCGGCTCGCTAGGGGCGGCGACGGGGCCGGGTAGGGGCGGCGACGGGGCCGCTAGGGGCGGCGACGGGGCCGCGTAGGGAGGGGAGCCGCGACGGGGCCGCTAGGGGCGGCGACGGGGCCGCGTAGGGGCGGCGACGGGGCCGCGTAGGGGCGGCGACGGGGCTGCGTAGGGAGGGAGGCGGTGACGGGGCCGCTAGGGGCGGCGACGGGGCCGCGTAGGGGTGGCGACGGGGCCGCTAGGGGCGGCGACGGGGCCGCGTAGGGGCGGCGACGGGGCCGCGAGGGAGGGGAGCGTTGACGGGGCCACTAGGGGCGGCGATGGGGCCGCGTAGGGGCGGCGACGGGGCCGCGTAGGGGCGGCGACGGGGCCGCGTAGGGAGGGGAGCGGCGACGGGGCCGCTAGGGGCGGCGACGGGGCCGCTAGGGGCGGCGACGGGGCCGCGTAGGGGCGGCGACGGGGCCGCGAGGGAGGGGAGCGGCGATGGGGCCGCTAGGGGCGGCGACGGGGCCGCGTAGGGGCGGCGACGGGGCCGCGTAGGGGCGGCGACGGGGCCGCGAGGGAGGGGAGCGGCGACGGGGCAGCTAGGGGCGGCGACGGGGCCGCGTAGGGGCGGCGACGGGGCCGCGTAGGGGCGGCGACGGGGCCGCGTAGGGAGGGGAGCGGCGACGGGGTCGCTAGGGGCGGCGTCGGGGCCGCGTAGGGGCGGCGACGGGGCCGCGTAGGGAGGGAGGCGGCGACGGGGCCGCTAGGGGCGGCGACGGGGCCGCGTAGGGGCGGCGACGGGGCCGCTAGGGGCGGCGACGGGGCCGCGTAGGGGCGGCGACGGGGCCGCGTAGGGAGAGAGGCGGCGACGGGGCCGCTAGGGGCGGCGACGGGGCCGCTAGGGGCGGCGACGGGGCCGCGTAGGGGCGGCGACGGGGCCGCTAGGGGCCGCGAGGGGCCTGGAAGGGCGGCGACGGGGCCGCTAGGGGCGGCGACGAGGCCGCTAAGGGTGGCGCGAGGGGCCGTGGGAGGGGCCTCTAAGAGAGCTCGACAGAAGGGCGGCCCACAAGGCGCGCCTCGGGCAGGAGCGACTGGCGCTCCGGTCAGAAAAAAAAAATTCAGTGGTGGGCCCAAGGAAGCGTTCCCACTAGGGAACCTGCTCTATACCATGTGAAGAAATGAGGAATGAATGAACTAGGAAAGAGGTGGGTACAAGTAGGAAAACCTAGAAATGTTGTACCCCATATAGTCTACCCCACTACAGCCTACACAGACTATAGCATATAAGTTTGACAACCATCGCCAAACGCTTCGAATTCACTCCAACCGCTATCTCCACACCGTACCGCTACATCTTTGCGAGCCACGAAGGAATCTCCGCACCACTCAAGCCTGCCGGCATACGCGACTATCAACGAAAGCTAGGATGTCTACTATTCCCAGCCGTCACCTGCCGACCAGACCTATCAGATTTGGCAAGCCAGCTCGCCACCTACCTCAAGAAACCTGAAGCATAGCACATGGCGGAACTCGACCGCGCACTCCACTACCTCATCAGCACTCCGACAATCGGCCTGACCTACCACAAAAACGGAACCTCGACACCTAAGCTAATCGGCTATGTAGACGCCGACCACGCCGGCGACGCAGACAACAGGCGCTCGCGCACCGGCTACATCTACCGACTCGAACCTATCGGGCCTATCTCGTGGCAGTCGAGCAAGCAGGAACTAATCGCTCTCTCCTCAGCTGAAGCAGAATATATTGCACTCTGCTCAGCCACCAAGGAAGGCTTGTACCTTCGCGAACTGCTGGAAGAAGCGAAGTTGGCTCAGTTACCCAGCTTCACTCTGTTCTGCGACAACCAATCCGCAATTCGCATAGCAAACAAGAACGGGTTCGCGAACCGAACGAAGCATATCACCCTGCGATACTTCTTCGTGAAAGACGAGATCGAGAAGGGGAGACTTGAGTTATCTTACTGTCCCACGACCGAGATGGCAGCCGACTATTTGACCAAGAAGCTCGGAAAGCAGAAGTTCGAGTACTGCATGCTGCTGACTGGACAAAGCCACGTCACCAGTAGCGACACTCCAGAAGCGAAGGGGAGTGTTGGAAACAAGTAACTTAACGCTTCTGATGTGTCGGAACATCGAACTGTAAACGAAGCAAATAGCAACGAAGCAACGGCGAGTCAACCATTGGAGGTTGACAAACTGCTGGAGGTTACGCGAAGGTCAAAGGTCAGCGACCTTTGACTTGACAAATACAGCGCGACAGCAAGGACAAACAATTGACTCGATACTAAGCAGTTGCCCGAGTCGTCACTATATCGAACCGCAACAGCAACAGTAAAACAGTTATTAGTTGCACCCTTTCATATTCCTTGTAAACCTATAAAAGGCTTGAATTACTTTTCTATAATCAATCAATCTTGCCCTCACACACTAGCGCAAGGTGGTTCAACACTTGTCATTAAAACGCTTCCGCAACTACAACACTTCTACTCAGAGTTAAGCCTTGAAAAGATCCTATGGGCTTTTCTCAGCCCAACAATATTGTGTACAAATCTTACCAGCTTAAAACCCTAGGTGCATGCTTGTTTACGTACAAATTTATTGCTATTCCAGTTTTTTTGTTACTCTTTGCCGCACCACTAATCAACTAGATGTCTTCAATTAGGCTCAAGTGATATACGCATGACAAGGGCCGTTACTATCCAATATCGAGTACATCAATCTTCGTCGTGACGTTCTTGCCTAGAAAATTTCACAACTATTTTGGAACACTTCAAAAGCAGCGCGTGTGAAATTCTGCGTTCCCTGTCACCTCTTTAGGGCACGTGTCTTTTGAAATTTATATGCAAAACTCAAGTTTTTGGTTGAACTATACGCAGTTGAACCTAGGTCGACCTAGGCTCGACAATATCGGCAGTTGTAGCCCGAGTCGCTGCTCCTCAACTCACAAATATCACAGGACACACGAAATTTCGACTATCGAAGTTGAACTTTCCCGAGTCGCGGCCAGCCCTCGTAGGTTACCCGGAACACTATTTTCTGAAATCGCTCGTGCGAACGACATGTGCTGCAACTATCGTCAATTTCGCAAATACCTAGTGTATTGTCAAAAGGACACGAGACTGAATTTTCGTTCACGCATGGTTTGAGCAGAAAGATCAACCCAGGTTTAGTGTACTACTTCATCTACAATGTTGTACTAGGACACATGATGCACAATCGAAACAAATGGCGACATTCACGAATAGGGTTACCATTAAAAGTTCAACCAAATTTCTGAACCTCTATAGCAAAAGACACGCGCCCTTACGAAACCCCAATTGAGCCTCTGTGATGCGCTCGTGCTATCTGTCCACCTTTTAGGCTCTTCGCTTTTCCATTGTCGCGGCCATCCCCGTACGCGCTTTTACCCTTCGGGTGTTCTGTTCATTTGTCGTTGTACTTGGAGTCTCAGGGCATGTTACATTTTTCACTTTTTTTCGTCCGGACGGTCGACCGTCCAGACGATTCTGTGGTTACGGAACTCGTTAAATCTCGGCAGTGAGTTCGTCAGGGTCTAAACGACGTCGCATTCTTCGTATTGCCTCCTTACGACATCGCATTGGTCGCAACGCGACCGTGCGACGTCGCTATCTGCGCACGCGTCCGGACTTTCAGCGACTTTGAAAAATGTAACACGCCCTCACTCACGGATGAGCAATTTCATGAAATTTACAATATTGGAAGTTTCTAAGGCATCCGGCGTTTTCGTCGCCGCTAATAACCTGAGCGATCATCGTGCGCGAGCCTCGTCTTTCTCGACGTGTTCTGAGTCTACTCAAAACACGTGGCTAATAAAGTGAGCCGTTGATCCTCCTCGTGCGCGAACAACCTTGTCTTTCTCGTCTCGGGTCTGAACGAGATCCTTCACATTTATGTGAGGATCAATATTCGTTGCTCTTTATTACCTCCTCTCGCTCACTTTGCATCGTACAGTGCCCATACACCCTCGCCCACCTTGCTCTCTCTCTCACTCTCTCGTCAGTAACTGACAGAATCTGTTCGCCTCCCTTGCACAGTCGCCTTTGTCGTTAACTGGCGGAACTTGTTACTTCTTTTCCCTACCTTCCTCTCTACGTTGTCAAATGACAGAATTTGCAGTCTTCAGCGCTGTGCAATCTTCCCTCGCTCCCTCTCTATCTCTCGTGCCCGTCTCTGTATCAGCTCTCGAAGCTACCCAGCCCATCCTAGTCGTTCACAGCTCGTTGGCCCATTCCCCGTTCCACTGTTGCTTCTCGGTTTCTCTTTTCCCCTCTGTCTCTCCCTCCGTGCTCCCTGTTTTTGGCATTCCGCTTGCTGTTCTTGTAGCTACTCACCCGTTGCCTCCTTTGCCACGTTGACCCCCATTGGATAATACATCAACGTTGAACGCCAAACTGTTGCAGGTGTTGTTCGAGAGTTGAGAAAGAACCATCTGCAACTTTATGTCATTTTACAAATGAGTGTTTTATTGTGAGGAACGCTAGGTAATAGGAACTCTTTAGGGAAATTATTTTCCTCTTTCGATTTTGACACGCTTTTATTGTTCCCTTCCTTTTCATGCGTCCTATCCCCTAGCCACTTCCTTGTCTGGTCACCTCACTGCATCCTCAACCAACGAATTGTGTACCCGTTAACACCTTCCGATGCGTTGACGTAGCCATGACAAGTTTCAATTAGGTGGTATTCTCATTTCGTCATGTCCAATTATCCTCCTACATACCACACACCCTCATCATGCATTTCAAATATGTATATCACATGATTGTGGTGCTGCTGAGTGCAGTTTCGGGATGCGAGGAGACAACGAGGCTGTTGGGAGTCCCTCAGGGCACCAGGCGGGAACCGACGGGCTGGTGTTGGTGATGGAGATGAGGCTGAGGGCGTTGGAAGGGCAGCTGGAGGAGACACGGAGGGGACTGGAGGAGGCTGAGAGGTGCAGGGCAGAGGAGCTGTTATTCATGAAAGGGGAAATGCTAACAGTAAGAGGGGAGCTGGTTGCAGTAAGGGGGGAACTGGTTGCAGTAAAGGGGGAGCTGGTGACAAGAAGGGGGGAGCTGGCAACAGTAAGAGGGGAGCTGATGACAATAAAGGGGGAGCTAGTGACAGTAAGGGGGGAGCTGGCGTTGGCAAGGGGGGAGCTGACGACTGTGAGTGGGGAGTTGGAGGCGTTGAAAAATGGTTTGGTAGAAGCGAAAATGGAGTTGGCTAAACAGAAAGAGTGCCTGCAGAAGGTGGAGGAGGAAAGGTTGGGCATGGAGGGGGAGGTGAAGAGGCGCAGGAAAGGAGGGAGTTCGGACGAGGCAGCAGTGATGCAGTGCCCGGCACCGAAGCATCATGATACAACTCTGGACCTGAAAGGCCTCTCTGGCCTTTCAGATACCCTCCTCGGTCACGTTTCCACCATGTCCCACCTCAAGCACGTGCACATCGATGGGTCAGCAGAGTTCACATCTGAAGGCATCAAGCGCCTCTACTCGCTGCATCAGCTGGAATGCCTGGAGATGAAGGGTAGTGTTGTCACTAACTTCTCCCTGAGTGGCATCGGGAGGGTACAGACTTTGAAGTTTCTCTACCTTAACCGCACTGGTGTGACTGATTTTGGCCTGCTGCACTTGACATGCCTCACTTCCCTCAAGACCTTGATAGTTTACAAGTGCGAGGGGGTGACTTGTGCTGGCATGGTGCACGTGGGAAAGCTAACAAGCCTTGAGGAGCTGTATCTATATGGAAGTGGAGTAAAGGACTATGGGCTTCAGTTCCTAGCACCATTAACCCAGCTCAAAATGCTCATCCTTCCGAGTACAATCACCGATGCTGGCATGCAGCACATCCAGTTCCTATCAGCACTGGAGTGGTTGGATTTCTCTGGCTCAGAATTGACCAAGAAGGGTCTGAAGCTTCTTCGAAGGCTACCTCGTTTGAGGCAGGTTAAAGCGGATGTGGATGGCTTTCGGACGCTGCTGAATACCATTCTTCCTGGAGTGGCAGTGAGTGGTGATCTTCTGCCCGGCGTAGTTGCTGGTGATTGAGGTAGAAATTCTATCTCAACTCTCTACCAGTGTTTGAACTATGTCTGTTGGTTGGTACGGTACAAGCGGGGAGGGAGGCTAATGCAGTCCAAGTGTAGATCCCATTGTCATGCCAACTCAGAAGATTTGGGGGGAGGGACAACATGTCAGCAATTTCAAGTACTCGAAGGGTTCACCACCTTACATGTTGTGATGCCCAGGCAGACAGTAACACTCTTGAACCAGTTGCTCAAGACACTGATACTTTACGAGTGTGAACGTGTGGCCTGTGCCGGCATGGTGCATTTGGGGAAGTTGACTAGCCTGGAGGAGCTGTATTTGAATCGCTGCGAGGTGAGGGATGAGGGGCTGAAGTATCTTGCACCACTGACCAACCTCAGAATGCTCCTCCTTCCACCTAAGGTTACGGATGCAGGCATGGAGCATGTTAAGCACCTAACCGGGCTGAACTGGCTCGAACTGCGGAATTCTTCCGTGACAGAGAAGGGTGTGCAGCTACTGAAGGGTTTGCTTCTTCTGAAGCAGGTGAGGGTGGACTGTGGGAGCATGCTGGAGGCCCTTGTGAAGTCCGTGCATCCTGAAGTGGAGGTGATTACTACTGTGTTCGCAGTCGCTGTGCTGGGTGATTAGAACGACTTTTGAGCCGCCTGTTGCATGTCTCGCTAAACTGTGTTCCCTAGGTGGAGTGGTGTGGCTAGACGTGCCAGATAACTTGATGTTGGGGGGTTGTTGTGGTCTCATTTAGTATTGAAGTTGTCCCTTTCACTTTCCTTATTCCTAGCAGCGATTCATCGAGTCTTTAGATGTTCCTGGCTAAAGCACCTGCCATGCTGTGTATGTGATGTGAATGTGTCCGATTCGTGTGTAGGCTGAGAAAGGTGGGAGTATCTAGCACTACCAGTTGGCACCAATATATTCTGTAGAAACGATTTTTTTTTCTACCAGTAATTTGCGACATGAACATTACCGCGTACAAGTCGCATACCGTCGTACTGATGGGCTCATTGCGAGTTACCACCCGCTCTCGCAGATTGAACATGCGAGGCCTGGCGAAACCCTGACAGGAGGAGGTTTGCTGCGAGGCAGCATAACAGCCAGGCTCTGAAGGTAGCAATTATTGCATTGCAATGCAAGGCATCAAATCCCAGCTCGAGTGGAATTTCCGGGCAAGGCGTGAAATAGCTGTGCGTGAAAATCCCCGTCGCTAGTTGTCAGCATTTCCGTTGTAAGGCGTGAAACCCCTCTTGCAAAGCGTGTGGTATCCCCATCGCAAGACGTGAGGATCGCTGTCGTAAGGCGTGAAAAATCATCTCGCAAGGCGTTCGATATCCCCGTCGCTAGACGTACGAAATTCCCTATTGGCCTGTCAGCAGTTTTCCTAAGTGCATCAGCGTCACTAAGGTCCCGCGCTCGCTATCGATCCGCTTCACTTTCGTTTTCTCGTTTGTTCATAGCATTTCATTTGTTGCATATATGTGCCGCGGGACGTTGTGAATGTTCCATTTCGGTCGGTAGGCTTGGTCGTCGTCGTCACAGCTTAATGTAAGCAAATTACAACATCTTAGTAGATTCTAAGGGCGGTCGTCTCTCGTCGCTTATGAGCTGAGCATTGATATTTCCATCATTCCAGTGAAAACCCGATTGAGAGCAGGAAGGGACAAGCTAGCAGGTCTGAACGTGCACTACCTCCCCCTCACTAGTTGCGTGTCTTATCGTGCTCGTACTATACCCTCGCCCCCCTTGTCCTCTCTCGTCAATAAAAGTCCTGTCGTACTATACTCTTTTTACACGTACTATACCCTCGCCCCCCTTGTCCTCTCTCGTCATTAAAAGAATCTGTACCCTCGCCTCCCGTGCTCTTCCCTTCGTTAACCAACAGAATCTGCAGCCTTGAGGACTTCTCGTACCCGTCTCCTCATCAGCTCTCAAACTTACCCCGCTCATCCTATCGTTCGCCACTCCTCCTTCTCGTTCCCCACTCCACCCCTGCTTCTCAGCTCGCCTTTTTTCCCCTCTGCCTCTGCATCTGTGCTGCCTGTTTTCAGCATCTCGCTTGCTGTATTTCGCATCTGCACCTCCCAGTTCACCAATTGCCGCCTCTGCTATCTTGACCTTCATTGAAGAACACTTGACGCTGCTATGTGAGTAGTAGCAGCAGGCACAATTTCCATAATTTCCACGTGTTCCACCCCCTAGCCGCTTCCTCGTGAAGTCAGTCTCATCATGAAGTGGCTGTTGGAATCACTGAACAGGAATGGATGAACTAGCAAATGAAAAGAGTACAAGTACCTAACCCTAGAATTGTGTACCCCCTATAGGCTAACCCACTGTAGCCTAAACTAACACAACATATATAATGTTTGACACACCCCCATAGGCAAAGTGGGGGAGAACTAGGGGTCACAAGACCAGTCAAGGCAAAGCAAGGCAAAACAAGCTCAGGGTGGATCTCAAGGATACCACACAAATTCCGAGCACAAGCAAGTGGTCACAAGACCAGTTCACATGCAGGTTTATATATAGAGATCACAGTACAAACAGACTCAAGAAGTAAGCAAGTGAGGTCCAGTAGGCACAAGGCCTAGAAGAGTGCAAAAGCGCTGATGGTCACAAGGCTGAAGCGCCTTGGTAAACACATCAGCAGTGTTGGCCTCAGAGGCCACGTAACGCAGGCGAAGCTGACCACGCTGCTGCAGCTCTCGAGCAAGGAAGTAACGCAGAGCAATGTGCTTCGTTCTGTGCTCCAGTCTGTGCTCCTCACACAAGGCAATGGCTGCCTTGTTGTCGACGTACAGCACTGGAGGAGAACGAGGCTGCTCTCCAAGGTCGGTCAGCAAGTAGGTGAGCCAGCGTAGCTCCTGGGCCGCCATGGCTGTGGCGTAGATCTCAGCCTCACAACTGGAGCTGAGAACAGAAGAAGAGCGAGTAGAACGCCAAGAAACAGAACCAGAGCCAAGACTGAAGGAGTAACCCTGAGACGACCGCTGAGTAGCCTGGTCGTCTGCCCAAGAAGCGTCTGAGTGCCCAGTGAGAACAACTGGGACTCGACCTCCAAGCACTAGCCCCATGCCCGACGTACTGCACAAGTAGCGCAACACCCTCTTAGCTGCATCCATGTGCTCCTTCCGGTGACGGCCGGGAGCGACATAGCGTGCAAGAATGCTGAGAGGGTATGCAAGGTCTGGTCGAGTGCAGGTCATCAGGTACATGAGGCAACCCACAAGCTCTGGATACGGGCCACTCGGCTCTACGGACTCATCCGAAGGCAGAGCTGAGAGCGAGTGACCGGTAGGCAGAGGAGTGGGCTGAGGCGAGGAGTACGTGAAGCGGAAGCGCTGAAGGACCTGCTGCACCATGTGTGACTGAGTCAAGGTGATGGTGCGGCGTGCTCTGTCCCGGGTGATCCGCAAGCCAAGATAGCTTGTCAGTTCACCCAGGTCTGTGCAAGTGTGTCTCTTCTGCAGCTCCGACTTCACGTGGGCGAGTGCCACAGTGTCAGCAGTAGCAAAGACCAAGTCGTCGACGTACACAAGGACGTAGAACGGCGGCAGTGAGGTGTCGGTGCGTAGAAACAGCGACGGGTCAGCAGTAGAAGGCGCGAACCCAAGAGCCGCAAGCGTAGTCCTCAGTGTGTCGTGCCACTCACGAGGCGCCTGGCGGAGACCGTAGACTGGCCGTCGGAGGCTCCACTGGGTACCAGGAGGGAACGACCCAGTGAAGCCAGGTGGACGGCGCAGCCAGATCTCCTCGTGCAGGCTGCCCTGCAGGAAAGCAGTGCTGAAGTCAAGCGAGTGGAGCTCGTAGTCACGCTGAGCGGCGACGTGCAGCAGAACCCGAAGAGTGGTCATCTTCGGGGTCGGGGAGAAGGTCTGGAAGAAGTCAACTCCCTCGCGCTGACTGAAGCCTCGTGCAACGTAACGCGCCTTGAAGACAGGCGGAGAACCCGGCGGCCGCTTCACCCTGAAAATCCACATGCCACTGACGATGTTCGCCCCAGGCGGGGGAACCTCGTCGACGTAGGTGCCTGTGGACTTCCAGGAAGCCATCTCTGTGTCCATGGCTGACTGCCACTGAGAGGAGTAGGGACCGGCCATCGCCTCTGCGTAAGAGCGTGGGGTCGGGATGTCTGGTGCATCCGGGTCTCCCTCAGGGGCAACAAGCATGGACACGAGATGGGGCAAAGCGGCAGCAAAGCACTCAAACTCCTCCTGCCTGTCCTCAAGGACGTCAGTGCCAAGAGCACACTCACCCCCGACGGACGGAGGACAGACAGACTCAGACTCAGCAACTAGGCTAGCAGCGTAGTCTAGACGACAGCGAGCAGCAAAGTCGACAAGCTCAGCAACTAAGGCAGACGCAGCAGCAGACTCAAAGGAAGGGTCAGTGACAACAGTGGCCAGGAGACGCGTGACAGTAGGACTGGTAGCACGAAGAGAGTCTGACCCAGGGTCAGTAAGAGCAGGAAGAGAGGAAGCAGGAGGAGACGGCAGTGGGACACGCTGTGGAGCAGTGGACGGACGAAGCGCCATCCGGTGAGTGCCTGGGACAGCAGGAAGACGCTGACGCTGGACTCGACTACTAGAGAGAGCAGTGCGGACAGGCGACCCAGGACGAGACGCAGGCTCACGCCGCTCAGTAAGACCTCCAGTCGGACCAGTGTAAGGAGCAGGACCAAGGAGAGAGGAGGCAGACGGTAACGCCGACTGCAGCTGGACAGGCGGAGGACACTCTAAGGAGGGAGGAGGAAAAGGAGGAGGAAGCTGACCAAGAACCTGCTGAAGGAGCGGAACAAAGTACGGCTGAGACCGAGCAGCGACACCAGAGCCAGCAGGGACACCCGCACCAGGGTCCGCAGCACCAGCAGCAGCTCCAGCGCCCACGTCCTCAGCACCAGCGGTAGCTCCAACGCCCGAGTCCTCAGCACCAGTAGTAGCTCCAACGCCCGGGTCCGCAGCACCAGCGGCAGCTCCAACGCCTGGGTCCTCAGCACCAGCAGCAGC